AGATCAGTCCTCTGTTCCACAAACTGTAGCATCAATGTGTTACAGGGGTGTAATATGTTACAGGATAGTCTGATTTTAGATAATTAAGGCAGTAAACCTGAAGAACAGCACAAGCTGTTAAATGAAGGAATTGCAGTAATGTGTTCTAAAAGCATCAGCAATCCAATAGTGTTGGTCTGTGAAGGGAACATAAAGCAAGTAAGTGCAAATGATTTTAGCTGTATGTTTTAATATCTAATGTTAAAGATGTGTAAATGTTTCCATTTGCAAACCTCTATCTCTGAGTATAGAGGTTGTGGCTGTGGAAATGAGCCCAAACTGAAACTCAACATGTTGTCTAAAAAAAAATGATTTTTTGCTGTTGTTGCTGTTTTGTTCTTGTAAAAAATAAAGAGGGAAGTACATGTAGTGTTAGGAATGTTTCAAACATTTTTTCACTGTGTCATTAACAATGGTTGCAATTTGAAATGGACATGAAGTTCAGAAGCAATTGTGACAGACTTTTTTAAAAAATAATTCAATTAAATTTTAGTATCTTAACAAGTCCCAGAGCCAAGTCCTCACTAAGAAAAAGGGCTGTGAGGAGTGTCTGTACTCTTCCTGTGGTATACAGAAATGCAGCAGTGGCTGTCATGTAGATGAGCTTTCCTTGCATCAAGGACATTTCCCTAGCTCAAGGATAAAGGAGCTACTGACCATCTTCTCTAATGGCTCCTTCCCCTTTAGGATCTCCCTCCAGCTCCATTTGCTAGGTGTGATTACCTACCCTCCTAACCAGGAAAATTTCAAAAAAAAGGATTAACAATTTTTCCCTTTTAAAATAAGTTTTGAGAGAAAGCTGTTTGTTGAATACAAATTTACAAATTTTTCATGGGAAGTCTTTTTTCCCCCATACTTTCAAGCCTAGTAAAACATAAGAACAAAAATGACATTAAAAGCATATGATTCAACCCCCCCGCCCCCCCCCCCCAAAAAAAAAAAAAAAAAAAAAGTAGCTATCTACTCTCTATAACTTCTGAGGGATTCCAACATAATACCTCTATCCCCAAAGTTCTGAGAAATGTGCACTGAATTTAATCTTCTTGAGTTCACCTCTGTTTCATGTTTTGTGAATCTGCACTGTACTTTCAGGAATGTTTTTCAATGTAATAGGTATTAAATGAATATTCGAGAGTATTTGTAGGAAATACATCAGATTCCTGTGCAAGCATTCATATCAAAAACATGATGCTAAGAATTAAGCTCATTCAACCAAGGAGCCAAGACCACAGCATGAAATCTGAGTGCAACTAACCAACTCTTCTCAAATCATTAATATTTAGGGAGAATTGCTGGGGACCAAACTGCAACTGAGAACTATTTGAATAGCAAGCCCATTTGAGAAAACAACATTGTTTTGCGGGACATTCACAAAGAGAAAAATAAACATGATTTACTGAATATATAGTACCAAAATATTTTCTCATTCCTAGAATCTACTCTGTCTAAAATAATTGCTATAAACAATCAATGAACAAGAATAGCAAAAATGTGCTGGATACATGGTGAGGATGTGGAATAATCTTCAGTATTCATTTTTGTACAAACACAGAAGTGCACAACCTTGGAAACAATGGTTTGAACTTCATTATCGATATATTTTGTGGGGGATCCTTTTTTATTCCTTCCCTTCCCTTTCTCCCCCCCCTGCCTTTTCTGGTTGCAATTCTGTTCTCATTCCTATGGTATTCATGTGCCTGTGAGAGTGATTATAACCCAGTTCTATTTAGTACTGTGTGCAGAAATAGTTCACTTAGATTGTTAAAGAGTATTTCCCACTTCTAGCTTGCTCTAGTCTAATATCATCTGTTATGTGCTAGATTAATAACATTTCTTTCCTGAATAGTATTATTTGAGCTGTTCTGTTTGCATTAGTTATGTTTCTGCATATTTTTAGCTAAGCAGATTGTGAAGATGAGGCCAAAATAGAGGTTTTCACCACTGTTTTGTTAATGTTCAGTGCTTTATTTCTAAAATTATTTGATAGTCTTATATATATATACATATATACATTCTTTAATATCTACTTAATATGTTTTATCTGGATTCAAATGCATTTAATCTTCAGCATCTCCTATACAAAATCCCAAATTTCTTAACAGACAAATTCTTTTTAAAGGAGCACAGCCCATCTCTGTTAGGATAATGAAGGTGTCTAATGCAATTATAAGTCATATTGGGATTAATGGTGTAGCTCACTAAGCCCTATACTGCTCTCTCTTCTATCTGCAGTTTATCAGTTTCACTAAACAAAGCATATAAACAAATATATTTGTGCTGTTTTTTGTTGGTTTCTTTGTGTTGTTGGTTTCTGTTTGTTTGTTTGTTTGTTTGTTTGTTTTTCTTTCATTTCTGAAACAGCAACCCTGAAAGGCTTTTATAATTTTCACTATTTATATTATTGTTTCCATGAATTATTATTTACAGGGATGGGAGTGATTAACTCTCATCTAAAAGAGCTCTAAAGACACATATCATCTTTCTTTAGAGTGATCACTGAAAGGATAACTTCTTTTCCCTTTTTTGATGAGACTGAAAAATCCTATACATTACTTTCACTAAATCTTCACAACCTATTGTTTACAATTGTTTACAATTGTTTACTATGCCTTCTTCTGCCTCTCTGGTTTTGAAAGTAAAATTCCCTGTTGGAAAGTACATTTTTAATGCTTTTTTTTTTTTTTTTGGTTATTTTTCTTATTCAAAAGGAACTGTTAGAAAAGAAAAATTGAATCTGAAATTTCCACAGACTTTTAAGGTTATTGCTGATTCTACTGATTCAAGCACTATCATTATCAGTAAACTCAGAAAAAAAAATGTGGTCAAGATATGTGTGAAGGAAACAGATACGTCTCTCAGTTATGGGATGATTAAAACCCCAGTGGAATAATTGAGATGAAAAAATATGGAATGAAGATGAAACTTAAAACAAAACAAAACAAAACAACACACCACACCGTCTATTTAGGTATTGAATGAATATCTATCAACAAAATGTAGGTTCTTCAAAAGTGATTGCGTTTACAGAAGCCAATACAACCACTGCTAGTTTTCTAAAATTGTCCATAGCATTAGTTTACTCAGATATAGAAGTCGACAATGCTTTTATTCAGCATTATTAGATGCCAGCTCTCTAAGGCTCTGTATGGTTTTCAAATATGCCATAATGCAATGTTTCTTGCAGAGAAGCAGTGGTCCATGATGTAGTTTAAACAATCATTTTTATTTAGCTGACATTTCAGTCACTAGTATGGTCAAGGGGCAATTCTGATCTTGTCTGACCTCTCAAACAAGCAATAACCTGACATCTTTTCTTGTCACCTGTAGTGTGTGTTATGCTTCCCACTCACACTACATAACCTCTGCTCAGAGAAGCCCCAGACTATTCCACTCTGCTGCTTCTTTCCAGTTCTGGGGACATGTTCTGTAGTTTGCCCTATCTGTGTCTATCTATAAAGGAGAGGTCTACCCTTGCCGTGAACCATCTGTGACAAGGAGGACAACAAAACCTTTTGAACTGATACTCAGAATTGGGAAAATCAAAGCCAATCTGCAAGAGTCTGAAATTTGGTGCAACACCCAAAGTTAGCCCAGTAGGTGAAATTTCAGGTTGACCTGAACATCATCTTATGAATGCTCATGGTGCTGTGAAGAATAAAAAGCAAAGTTAAATGTTAGCATAAAGAGATTGAGTAAACCAACATAAGTAAAGCAGCCCATTTTCTGAATTCCTTTCCCAGAGTCTAAATTCACTATGCATCATTTTGTTATTTTCAGACCTTGTAGCTACAACAGGCAAAGTTCCTTGTACCTGAGAAGGCCTACAGGAATCAGAAGATACAAGGAACAGAAAGGTTTTGTTCTGAGCAAAAGGAATCTTATGTGGGAAAGAAATTACTTGCATAATGGGATTTTTTATATGTTTGCTAAAAATCATGATGTTGACCTCAAGGTACCTCCATTTTTTTTTTTTTTTCCCATCTTCTGATTGTCACTGTTATGTAATTATCAGAGACATTTTAAAAATTATTTTAGCACTTCTTAAAGCAATTGCATTGATTATAGCAAAGATATTATTCTGTAGGCTTAGCAAATGAAGCATTGAGTAACAATATAAAGAACTTTTTCATCACTAGGTCATCATTAACATGATCTGTTCAAATACTTAACGACAGAAAAATGCTGCCATCTAATTAACAGTGCATAGTGGCCTATATATAATGAGCTGATTTCAGTCCATATCCTGTTCAAAACATAAGAAATAATCAATTTAATTGGGGATTAATTGGCACGTGACTTGTCAGTCTCGATAACCTTTAGGGCATAGTCTTTATTTTGAGTGTAAACCCCTTAGGGGAGACATTGTTTATTATTATGTTTGAAAAATTCTGTGCCATCATCCTTGCAAGTGTTATTTTTGTCACAGATCCAAAACAGCTTACTGTGCTATTCTTGTAACTGGAGAAAAACAGATGAGCTGATTTTAAGAACCATCAACCTACTGCCTTTGAAAAAGCATTTGAAAAGTGAGCATTATCCTCAGATTAGTGAAAATTCATACTAAGGGCAGAGGTTCATCTTTTTGTTTGGACAGATTCTGAGTTTGTTCCAAATAAGTACGCCTGTCTCATGTTTTCATGTAGAAAAATCTTCTGGAAACCAACAAGTCTCTCTTTAACAGAGAGTATAAAGAAGGCAATAAGCATACCTGTCTCAAACCTTAAAGATCTATCAGCCTTTTTGTACCTAAAGTAGATAATGCAGAACTTTGAGTAGGCTTTTGTCTTAGTATGCACGTAATAGTGTTACAGGGAGCCACACAAATATGTCTGTGGAGCAAAAGATCCCTGGATCACAGTGAGTAATGCCCATAAGTATTAACTACAAAATACACATAACCAAATAATTCAAACTGGCTAAAATAAGTAGATACCATAAATTAGAGGAAAAAAAATACTTACTGCACACATGGAAATTTCCTCAGAAAACGTTTATCTTCATCTCTACAATAAAATACTTTATTAACTACATCTTCTGGGATACATTCAGTTTTGCTGAACACAAGAGGGAATAAAAAGGCATAAATATGCTAAGCCTTGCTTGATCTATGCGAAGAGATTTTTCTCTCTGCAGAAGATCTGGTGAAGTAAAACCACATTTGATAAACATGAACACATGGTTTTGGTTTTATGGTTCTTACATTAAGCTAGAGAAGGAGGGGACTAATCAGACCCTGGAGATGATATGAATTTGACAACTGACCAATAGATAAATGGCAGGAAATTAGTAGGGGAGAAAAAAAAAAGAGAGACTTAATGAAAATAAGTTGACGGAAAGGAACAACCTTTTTGACAACATCAAAATACCACTACAGGAATCTTAAGTTTTTGGAGGGTAAGTAACAATCAACTGAACAAGGAAAGTCAAAGCTGTAGAAAGATGAGGAGTGCAAAGCTATCTACTGCAAACACAGAGGGAACAGAGCCAGAGGCAAGTATGGTTAGCTTTGCTGGTAGCCACAGTAGCCGGGAGTCCAGGACTCTCCACACTCTTTTTCATTATGAAACGCATCTTTCACTCCCAGCAATTAAGGTCACCACATTGGGGCATTTAATGTTTGCCCTTATGAAAACCATTCTGAATATGACAAATAGCATTTGTATTTGCCTTAAATCCTCATCAAACCCAGCTGCGGGAACATTCTGCTTGCCTCTCTAAAAACTCAGTAGAGTGGATATTCTCACAAGATTTCGAACACTTCTGTGCTTTCAGGAATATCAGCAGAAACTTTTTTCTGAAGACACCATTTTAGTACGATAGATTTATCTTTGGAAAGATGAAAGCGTAAATATGTGAAGGAGGGTATGATTGCAAATGGACATTCTGTTTATAGGCTTATGAACTTAAACACGGTGCCACACTACATAGTTTGGAATTGGCTTGTAATTGTCTAGAGTATAATATGAGTAAAGAAATTTTTTTTTTGTTTACAGTAAATTCCTTAAATGTATTTCAAGTGATATTTGTGCATATGACCTTGTTTCCAATACAACTGTTTCTACTAAATTACTGTTCTCCCTTAGAACTGACAGGAAAGGAAGATTGCACCAGCTGACAAATGAAATTTTATTAATGAAAAGTAGCATAAGATGGTTCCAGTTCCAGTTTCTCTTCGGATAAGAGAAATCCTTAGAAAACAGAAAAGAAGTTGCTTTTTAGGCTAGGAGGCTCTTGAATTCAGCAAGAGGAGAACCTTCAACACATCAAAGATGCTGGCATTTTGTGACAGATTCCCTTATTTCTTTCAAATCATCTTTTCTCTTGACATCTCCATCAGCAGCAGAGCTTGTTCACAGCTCAGCAGCCTCATGTGAAGAACTATTGTCTTCTCAGAATCCTATGGGAGCAGCTAGCTTGGGCTACTTCAGGCAGGAATACATTTTGAGAAGAAAATTGCATCAAATGATAGGTTAATGGCAGTGTTCATGTCAAAAGCCAGTGGAATATGAATGGCCTTCAAATAAGTATTGCTGCAGCCTACATATTCAATGAGATCCATATTCACTGCTTCAGGTTCAAGAGAATCTGCAAAAGACATCTTTCAGCAAGGCATGGAGGGTACATTTTTATAGTTGGTTCTACAGAGGAAAACACAGCTCCTAAGGAAGAACAGATTTTGCAGCCACATAAATACTTTCTGAATCTTTGAGTAAAAATAAGAGAAGAATGTAGAACAGCAGCCTTTATATAAATACAGATTTTAATATTGTTTTTTTTTTTGTTGTTGTTGTTGTTTTTTTTTTTTTCCTATGAGCATCAGAAGTAGTAAAGCATGGTGGATGCACTGTGTCTCCCTGGAAATCCCTCTAACTGCAAGATGTTGTATTCATTTCTGGTTTGCTGGACACTTTCTGTCTGTGCAGGATGGGTCTGATATTTTTGCCAGTTCTGAAAAACAGCTGTTTTCCTCACTGAAGACACTAACTCACACTTCAGCATTCTACTAGTTTTCTTGAAACCTGCTGTATCTTAATTTTCCTTGAGATTCCTTTCCCTCCATCAAATTTGATTTCAATGGGATTAAAATTTCATCAAGTTAAAATAGTTTTAGGGGTAGTGGTCAAGAGGAAGCTGTTAGTGAGATTATCTCAGCCTGTTTTCTTCAGGGAAGTAGGTGAAAATGATACCTAACAGAAACAAATGTTCCAACTAGATGAGGACCTAACATTAAGCCCTGCTTTGAGATATTATTTTTGCTTGAAGTAATAAATGTACTGTTTATTACTCAAGTTCTTTTTGTCAAATTGTTTGTACTGCTTTGGTGCAATTTATACTATTGTTTTGTTGTGGGGCGTATGACTTCCACATGCAACCTAGAAACCAGAAAATTGATAAGAATCAGTACCAAGTTAAAAGAAAAGTCAATCTTTTTGAAGTAACTGATTTTAATGGTAATTTTCTGTAAAAAAATCATCAAGAAAGACATGAAATGGTCTAAAATAATGTAATACAAATATTGCAGGAAAGAAATACAGAAATAGGCTGATATTTATAACAGAAAGAAAATAATACTGAAATTTTTATGTTTAAACAGGTCAAAAAACACTAATAAAGGGTCAAGTTATTAGGACTTAAAGTTAGCCAAGCATCAGATATTAAGATGCGAGAAGCAACTAACTCATTTCCCTGGAGGGTGGGAACTTCAGCATGAACAGGAGTTCAATGTCAACAGCATACTTTTTCAAGGCCAAGCTCTGATTAGCTCTGATTTTCTAATCTGTGATCTAAAACCTGTATTTTTGCAAATATAAGTGCATGTAGTTAATTTGACACCTTGCTTCTAGGCAGACTAGACCTAAATTTCAATGAGAAGTCTTTTAGTGTTACTATATCCTCACTTGCATTCATTGTCAACATTTGCTATCTGTTGAATGTATTAGGATTTTTTTTTTCCTCAGTGTCTGGATGACCGTTTACTGGAGTTTTGGTCGATGACTTGGGCATTTGGATACTAGGTAATGATGACAAATACTATCTGCTAAGCCAGTAGTAAGCCATTTCTGTATACAACCAGATATTTTTAAATAAAAAAAATATTCCAGTTTAAGAATTTTGGTAGGAAAGCTCAAACTTAATAGGCTGAAACTTTTCGTAAACAGGATTGTTGTGAGGGTAAAGAGATGAAAAATTGCTTATTAAGATATGTTACTGAAGATATTCTCTAGATGGATTTATTCACTGGATGTAAGTTCTGCCATGAGCATATGGCAAAGAAGGAAGGGTGGAAAATTTTCATTACAATACTTTGAACAAGTTGTAGATGATGCTATCTTTGAACAGGATCAAAAGGAGCCCCCAGACTCTTGGGTTAAAAAGGCAGAGCTCTCATCTCTGATGGTTATTTCTCTTAATGCACTTTTCCCCTCCCTCCTTTTCCAAATAAATCTCTTTCAGTTCCCTCATAAATCTCTTTCAGAACCCCTTCTGAGGTTCTGACAATGTCCACTGTCTTGCTCTGCAGGTGCTGATTGTCATCCTATCCACTCAGCTGGAGACCCTCTGCACTTTCAAAGTCTGCTAGGAAATAAGGTGTAGAGAACTAGCCCTACTTCTTGTTCTATGTTTTCTATCAGCTTCAGCCACTGGTTCTTTCTTTCCTCCCTCCCCCTCTCCATTTATTTTCACCTGGGATTCTTTGATCACGAAGAAAAGTTTGGATATACCACAAAGCACTCAATGTGCTCACGGCAGACAAAAGGTTGGAGAATCAGTAAAACAGAATTCTGGCCAGTTTCTCATTTCTACAGTTTTGCACTATCTGCACAACCCCTAATGCCCCATTAGAGTCTGTGGGAGGTATTTGACAAGCAATGATGCTCACACAGCTATTCCCTCCTCTCCTTCTTGTTCCTCTGAAAGTGGCTTAAATAGATTTCTCAGCACAACACTGGTCTCAGGCACCCACTCACCATTTATCTTCCCTAGTCATTAATCACAATCATGTGCAATTTAGAGCAGTTCTTGGTCTTTTTTCCCTGAAATGAAAGAGTTGCTCTTGTCATGAATATTATTGGTCATGAATCACAGTGATTTCCGCTCATACCATCAATTATAAACATAGCTAATTGGAGTGCCGATAGGGCTTCATCTCTTCACAGAGAGGCTCCTTCCATGAATTTTACTGGCTATAAATCACTGTGTCTTCAAACAAGAGACTCCCCTTCACTCTTTTCCACTGACCTGATTCCAAGGCACCAGTATTGGCTTCCCGGAGTTATCAGGCTATGTGATGTCATAAATCCACATCTAATCAGTTCACTGAGGAAGACTACTATATCTCTCTCTACACATACTGCTTGCAAGTATCCCTCTTGGCTGTCATATCTTTGCTTTAGACTGGCATCATCAGGGAAATTGGCAGAGTTTCCTTACAAGTCTCATGCCAAGCCAATATTGCCCACACTTTTTCCAGGCAGACAGAGATAATGTCTATCTAAAAAATGATTCTCATTTCTCTACTCAGACGGACAACAAGTGCTGCCTCCAAGCAGTTTGTTAGGACTTCTGGGATGTATGCTGCTGCTGTAGAAATACTAAGCAGGACAAAATCTATCACTTTTGTTTCTCAATGATAGCATTCATGGGAAATGGATCTTGTGTTGGACTGTGAGCAAGGAGGAGGGAAGCTGGGATTTTGAACTGTGCCTAGCAAAAGGACAAGAAAATTGATTGCCTTCTGCATTTAACTTTAAGCACAATGCAGCAAGAGAGAACAGAATTCAGTAGCTCTCTTGGATGTCATGCAAGATAAAATCCCAGAAAAAAAAAAAAATCAAGACAAAATCTGTTTCCTCCTCAGATGAAAAAAGTATCACCCTACAAGAGATGGAGGAAATGGACACTAATGTGAATGAATTCATAAACTCCTACAATGCCAATTTCCTCCTCACCAAAACACATCACATGCAATACAACAAATCCTACTTTTTTTTCTGCCTACTGACTTTCCTCCCTACTGACTTGCTTACTCCCCTCCAAACTTCATCCAACACAGTTTATCTCTAGTCCTTATTTTTAGGTAGTTCTGTTACCTAGACTTGGACCTGTCCCATCCCTAGTCTCCATACCAACACAATCATTAAAAAAAAACAACTATAATCTAACTGCTAGTCCTACAAAATTAACCAAGAACATAGCCTAAGTTGTTTTAAACACAGCAATCAGCAACTTACAAAGTGCTAACTCTCTCTACTGCAGCAGACCCCCACAGACCACTGTGAGACCACTGCAAGACCACTGCACTCTATATTTGCCAGTACCTCATCCATTGTAGTCATCATCTGTAGGGAAAGGGGATTGTGAAAAGAAGATTTGACAGAAATATTTCTCAAGTCATCTGGTTAGCTTAGAGGAAGTAACCAGTTTATACGAATTCAAAAGCTGATTAGGCAAGAACTGTAAGTCAACTGTACATGCACGTGAGAAACTGTTCAAAAAGGAGTGAAAATGCTAATATTTCCAGCAATCCAAGCATAAGTGAGCTTATCAGAGTGAAGACTGACCATTCTAACAAACTTCTCTCTGGACAGCTAAAACCTTTTCAATACCTAATTTAACCACTGTGCATATCTTCCAAAGTGATTGTGACAGTAAATTGTTCATTTTCCCCATTGAAGATGATGTATCTCCTTCAATTAAATCAGAATATATATTCAAAAATGACAAGATGACAATGCCTCATATGACCTTTTCCTCCATTTACCTAGTGAATAAATAAGCATCAGTTTAACAATAACACAAATTATCACGGTCTATTTTCTGTTTCCAATTGCCCTTAAGCAATAAGCTTACTGAGAAAAACATGTTCTGAACTTTTAAATATAAGACACAAAAAATCCCACATTATTAATCTAGGGATAACGTAAGTTACATGCCTGAAATATTTTACAATTGGCAAAAGAAAGAATTCCTTACTCAGTCTCAACAAAGGGTGAATGATCTTATACTTAACTTCAGATACATATGGTCCATCAAGATTAGAATAAAATCATTGAAGGCCTCCATTCTTTTTCCTTGAATTGATATACTACAACCTGTGGCACAAAATCAATTAATGAAGAGTCCAAGAAAATAAGAGTGGGAGGAATGATGGATGCATCACACAAAACTCCCAGTACACACAATTGAGTTGTAAAAGAGAACATGGCTTAGGGCATAGGCCAGCAACAGGTAGAAAACACTGGATTACACACTTCCAGTAGGGAAAGCAGGAAAATATTGAACTGTGACAACTTAATTGGCAGCCAGGGAAGGAGAAGCACTGTGAACTCTCCACCCAGTTATACAGTTGTTATTGCATATAGTGCTGTACCCTTAAACCTCATATAGAGCAATCCCAAAAGGTAACATACTCTGTCTCTATTCACCTACTGAAAGGAGGAAAGGTATGAAAATTAATTATAAATGGCAGCTAGTTTTATCATTCAGGGGTAAAGTACACCTTGCCCAATCTGTATCACATCAACACAAATAAAAGTTAAAGATTATTTATAATATATATGTAATTATATACATTATATAATTATATAATTACCCCCAGATAATCTTCTCTGCAGCAAGTGTAATGGAAAGGATATACTGCTTTGAAGATGAATTGCTAAAATCTTATGTTCTGCACATATTTATGATAATTCCAAGTTAAAGTTCACCCACCCCTTTGTTAAGCAGATGCACATATTTCTTTTTAGTTGATGCAGATAATTACCATTATTATGTCTGGGAACTATGGATAGAAATTGCTCCTCTCTTACTCTTCTCTTTCTTTGTATGCTTGAGTATTTTATTTACTTTATTTACCAAATGATATTAGAAAAAAAAAGCCTATACACTTGGTTGAAAGGTGTTTTTAAATATATATATATATATTTGAAAGTTCTAGATAGAATTCTGTCTGATCACTTCGCAGGAGGAGTGCCATAAAAAATATTCCCTCATAAAGATATTCTGTATCTCCAGTGGGGTCCTGGTCCCTTCTGGGTTTCTGATGCTTCAGGATCATGATTAAGTTTTATTAGTATTTATTTTTCACTTGCTATTACTTTCTCCTTTTCTCTTTGGCAAGAGCCAACCAGCAAACCCAGAACCATCAAAGACATTTACTTGCCTAACATTCACCAGGGTGGTCTCATTATGCAACTTCAAGCTTTTCCAGTATCAGAGCTTTTGACTGTACAGTTGAATCAAAAGTACTTTTGTAGGTAGGGTAGCCAGCATAATGGCACTATGGTCCTCGGTAATACTGTAAGGTAAATAAATAACAGTTGTATGAATCACAGGAGGAGAGAGTTTCTAATTGGAAAAAAAAAAAAAAAAAAAAAAGAAAAAGAAAAAAAAAAAAAGAAAAAAATGCACAGGGGACTGCATTTTTCACTGATGATTTGAATGAATTAGCAGCTTTCTCCCCTTACAGTGGGAAATGGCATGTAACAGATAAGCAGCTGTACAAAAATAACAAACTTCACTTACTATATGCACCACTGGAGCTTGCTGCAGTTGTACATTTTTAGAAAATTATGTCCTAAGCACTCTTATTTTTGCCAGTGTTTGTTTAATGAGTATTGTGTTCTAATTTATTTTTAATGTGCACCTTACCCCTTACTGCCAGACGTTCTTTGAATGACGTGCTGCTTCTCCATGAGTATTTCTGCATAAATATTTTATAACTGAGCTAAATAATAATAATAAAACACCTTATAACTGCTTGAGGGTAAATTACTGGAAAAGTGTAAGTGATCCTATTTTGCTTTCACATTTATTTTTGGTACTTTACAAGGAAATGTCATTGAGGCAAACTCACAATTTTATTCCAGTTCACAATAAATGGCAAGATGATAATAGGAATGAAACACAAATATACTATGACACCCTTGTAAAAATGGAGATTATAGAGTAATGGCTGCAGATCTACTGGAACCTGATATAAAAAACACAGCTTTGTACACCATCCTAACTCTGTAGTACTTTTTGCATCACTTTGCAATCAGGATATACTATGAAAACAAATAAACATAAAATGCCAACATGTACAATGTGAGAGAAGTTAACACCATATAAATTTAAAAATGAATCTATAGTAGGTAATTATCTTTTTCAGAACAATGTTAGAAACTACCTGAGTGAAATTGTCACCTTTTGTGATCACACTGAATGCTTCATCAACACACTGTGATAAAGAATCAGTTTCATGTCAACAATGTATACCTGCAATCAGTCTAACATAAACTTTTAATATGTGGGTCACTTACCATCTGTGATCTTAATGTATCAGCACAGAAGAATAATAGAAAGTGATGAAGTGAAATGACAGGTGTACGTGTGTTTAGGGGATATACATGTGAGGACTGAATTCCTCATTTATTTATCTTCATGTTTGAGAAAGTTCAAATAAGATTCCCAGAAAATTAATAAAAGAATAGGGACTCAAAAAAGTTTCATTACAAGATGTAAACAAGCTCTTGGAAGCACAAGTCTGCAAACTGTAATCAGTATAAAAGCACAAAAGAAAAAAGACAATTGCTTTGAATCACAGCTAACCTCATTCAGGACAGTTTGTTGCTGCTGCTGAATTGGATTCTTTTTCTTTGTTTATCATTTGAACAAAAACAACAAATTTATTTGATGTATGCCACAATGACTGGAATGCTCAAGGGTCTATGTAGTATTCCTTTGCATAGAAGATTCACCAGAAGTTTGATTAAATGGAGCTAAAATAGATTTGCTTTGCTGTAAACTGCACAGAACGAGATCACCATCTTCTTCCAAAGCCAGGAGACAACTTAGGTTGGGTCTCAGCCATCAAGGGCAAGGGCAACTACATTTCATGATAAAAAGCTATAACAAACCCAGGGCACTTGGATATATCAAAACAGAGGTAATTATTTGTTTAACATTAGAAATCCACTTACAAGTAGAAGTCAGTAAAGGTCATCCCAAGTTCCCTGTCTTGAAGAAGACAGATATTTCTAATAAGAGCAGGAAGCCTAACTGGCGTGACCAAGGTTTACAGTATAGTTTGGAGTGCTGCTGAAGATTATGTAGATGCACAAACACTGAAAAGAAATTAAAGCTTTGCTTAGCTTGCTGCCTCATTAATGAGCACTTTGTTCCATCTTAAATAATAATGACAACTTCTGCCAGGCCTTGGCTGAAGTGAGTCCACCTTCAGCTTGTCTTTCCTGAAATGCTGACATGTCTACCCAGGAAGATGGAAAATGTACCGTTTTAGAAAATGCCTGACTGGCAACAAGTTACACTGCAGCCCTTCTAGCTAACAAAGAGCATAGGCTTCCTGAGAGAGAAGAGTTTTCCCACTTTGAGTGAGAAAAATCCCCAACAGGAATACTCACATCCTCCTTCCCCAAACTGAACAGATAAGAATTACTCTCCTTTTCTTGTTGTAAGGAACTGTATTCACTGTGTATCAGCCCAAACAAATTTCATCCTGAGGCGGTACTGCCTATTTGCTATTAGCAGCTTGGGCTTCTGGGCAGAGTCGCTTTGCTGGTCTTAAACTGGTCTTGACTGTACTTAAGCTGAAGCTGTCTTCTCTTTTTACTCTTTACTCTTTCTGATAGCTTCCTTCCTTGCTAGCTGTCCTTATCCCAACTGCAGTCACTAGTTCCTCTTGCTAGGCCCTTTCCACTAGTGATTTTTGACAACCACTTCTTTCCTCTGTCTGACTGTGTCAGCCACGTGCTGCTCATGCCAGTGTGTGATGGTAATATCTTCTCAGGGCAAAAACAGTAATACACAGATGCCTTTGCCATGATAACTTTTTTTCTTTATCTTCACTCCCCCTTCTCTTCTGAGACCCAGTACGCATCTAAATGTATAACTTTCTTTAAAAAACAGTAGTTCTAAAGGAAATGCAAATGAAACCTGCTTAGGTTATTCCCCATGTTAATTCTTTTCAGACTCCCTTACCCTTAACCAAATGTCCCTTGTCATCTAGACTGTCTCATTGTGGGACCTCTCTACGGCTATTTTTAATCCTGATTTAAAAACAAGTCTGTACAATTTTAAAAGTTCATTTAAAAATGTGGACTTATATATCAGCATTGGCACAGCAAAACAGAGGGTAACCTGAAGTGCAGGAGCTGTATGCAATATGTGGCTGGTAGTGGCAATAACGGGACCCTCATAAAGCAGATTTCCCAGGGTAAAAAAAATAAAATAATAATAATTAAAAAAAAATAAAGTAAAGATTGAAACAGCACCCTTTTTTCTTACCTGTGTGTTTCTGAAAATACCATGGGCTAATGAAATAATATTGCTCTAGAAAACAACTCCCTGGGGTCAGATTCAGGTTAGATATTTTCTGGCGCCACATGGAAATTACAGCCATAAAAGTAGTTTCCAAATAATTTTCTATGTGCATATCCTCTGAACACATTGGCAGGCCAGATCCTGCAGCCCTGGCCCAGCCTCTTTGAATCCTGTAGGCACTCGGCCTCAGTGCCCTTTCACTGCAGCAGTCCTCGGAGGCAGCAGCAGCTGCTGTCCTTTCATTCATGCCTATGCCTTGCTCTGCATCCTGGTTTCATTTGTGTTGCTGAGTACTCATAGGGCAACGTTTGCAATCCATATGTTTTTTTCTTGATAAAGGGAGACAATTATAGCAAAACAGAAAAGAAAGAGAGAAGCATTGAACCTATCTCCAGTCCTTCACATATATTTTGAAAACATTTTGGAGAAAGAGAATGCAGCTATTTCTTTCCACTGATTATTTCTGGGACTTCAGAGCCTTGGAGTTCACTATAACTACCCACTTGCATAGCTGCAAATAGTTAGGGGCAGACACTAAGAGGAAGTACCTCTGCCACAGGTAAAGTTATCTATGCTGCAGAGTGCCTGAAAACCCCAGAACCCACTGAGCAGGATTCTTGCAGATCTAGATGTCAACAGTTTTGAAAGATACGGCTCATTTGCCGCCCCAGCAGGCTCCCAGAGTTTCTCTTTGGTGAGGAGGAGATTGCAAAATGAGGCTTGCATTTCTGTGGAAAATATATCCATATGCTTCTGTGCAGATGAAAACAGAAATTAACTCAACACCTGTAATGCTGTTTAGAACAGGAGATTCTAGAATATCAGCATCATATATGAGATGCTCTGGACACTTAAATGGAGGTATTCATACCACATTTTCTGAAGGCACCTGCCCTGTTTATAAGAGTTTTTGTTCTGAATCACCCTGCAGAGATTCCAATGTCTCTCCAGTCACTGCAGAGACTTCTCTGGGTATTGGTGTAGCTGCACCAATAGGCAGCTACAGATAGGCAGGATCTCTCAACTCCAGGTCTAGGTCTTCACTCCTGACCAGCCACATCAGTCACCTACATATTGGTGTGTATGCTCTGGCTCTATTTTGGCATGTCAGTTTGCCCTCTGGGTGAGGAAAGCTGAATGCAGAAGGACAGGAAGTGGGTATTTGAGTATATCTTCAGTTA